AGCAATCAGTAGAGAGGCTAGTTAAAATTCTGAGCCTGGATGAGGTCACTGGGGGATTAAGGTTTAGATAAAGAGCAAAGACCACAGCCTCCTTCAAGGCTCTAGATCAGAGAGGTGAGACAGCCACAAAGGAGAAGCAGGGAGCTAAAGCTGGTGACACAAAGGCTCGTCTAGTGCAGCTGCCCGGAAGGAGAGCTCAGTGGATGTAGGAATGAAGAGTTCCAGGCTCATGCACCCCTTGAGGTTTGGAGTTGTGGAGTGTGTACATGTGTGTGTTTGTGTGTGTGCACACATATGTGTTGGGAGCAGAATGGGCACAACATCTTACACATGACTAGGTCTGTGGAACCTGTAACATGTTCCACTGACACAAGGTCAGGGAATGCAGTTTCCTCATATTGCTTGCAGATGAGGAAACTGAGACATAAAGGCTTGGTGACCTGGCCCAGCATTCTAACAGTAACCAGCAGGCCTGGGACTGGAAGGGCTGTGTGTTGAGCTTTCACTGAATCATGCTGCACATGTCCCCAAGTGCTCACTGACTGCTTGCAAGGCTACCGAGAAATGATTTGAAATGAAATTTAAGCCTTTATTTCCACAGAAGCAAAGAAACTGCAGATGTGTTTCCCTTCAGGAGGGGCCTGGACCTGTGAGCTCAGATAAGAACATGCTAGCTCAAATGAACTGGTTTCACTGGGCATGGTGTGCCCACCTGTAAATCTCAGCACTCAGGAGGCTGAGGCAGGAGGACCTCTGCGAGTTTGAGGCTAGCCTGAATTACATAGCAAGACACTGTCTCAAAAAATAAATAAAAATAAATAAATTAAAAGAAAGAACTACTCTTACAATGAGAAACCAACCGAAGGAACTAGGAGGCCATATGTGGGGGATTTTCTTGCTGGGTGGGGACAGCAATAAATTCACTTTGGTTGCAGAGCTATGGATGTTAACCCATAACCTCAGAGATAGCAGTTTCTGGGCTGGCTCTTCCACTCATTCCACCAAAATATCCACTCCAAATGATTGGTTTCATTTTACTCCCTCTTCAAGTGTTGCTTGAAGCATTGTGTTCTCTCCAAGCTTCTTGTCTTGCCTTGGAGAAGCAGCTTCTGAGATCAGAGGCCCCATGGGTCAAGCTTGGCCCTCCCCTGGGCAGAGATAAACAGGCCCGGAATCCATTTCCCAGATTGCAACACCGGTGAGTCAGGCAGGGTCGGACAGACGGCCGGGTCCCTCCCAGGCTCCCCTTGCTTGTACCTGATAAGGAAGACTCACTCATTCCAGTGCCGTCTTGGGAGCACACACACATAAACAGACACTCCCAGGACCACGTCATCAGAGAGTCAATTGTTGACCTTCGAATGGCCGGTAGCCCAGGAAAAGAGGAGAGCACATGTACCCCTGCTCAAGAGCAGCTCCAATTTTAAGAAAACCAAGGCTGTCCTTGTGGGCTGCTCTGGGACCACCTTTGGAGCCCCCTGGTCAAGGGCAGTCTTGAGGCAGCCTCTGCAGCTCTGGAGAGAGGATGGAAGGATCACAAAGAGGGCAGGAGGCGGTCAGAACAGGGAGGTGAATTTATGAGGGAACAAACAAAAGGCCCAGGGAGAAAAGGTGTATTATGAAAATGCAAAAATTTTTGCATCAGAGAGGGAATTGAAGCTATGACATCTTCAATAAAACAAAACAATCCCCCCAAGTGAATGCTCTTCTCCTTAATGATATACAGTGTATAAGGAGAGGCAAAAGGAGTGTTGACAGTCTCCTAATAGTTACACAATAATAATACCAGCCCCAATGCCATATTGTAGCTTGTAATCAACACTTCACATTAACTTTATGAAAGCAGTTCATAGTTCACAGGGGGTTTTCACATTCATCTTTTCCATTTACCCCATCAACCCACTCAAATGGGTAAAGCATTAAGAGGCCCATTTTATAGCCATGAAGACTGAGGCCCAGGGAGGATATATGCAATTAACTGTGGTATAATTAAGAGGAGGGAGGGACAGGTTTGTCCTAAGCAGCCCTGAGCTAAAATGCTCCCTAAAGACACAGCACTCATCTTTAGGATCACTCCTTTTCTGTGACCACTCAGGGGGCTGAATCTCCATTGTATTTCTAAGTAGAGCAGTCATATTCTCTCTAGCGCTATCTGCAAGTTTCCAGCCTTATTGCTATCATTATTTTGATACTGAGGGTTGAACCCCAGGCCTTCATGCTAAGCTACATTCCCAGCTCTTTTAAATTAATTAATTTCATGGGGGATTGAACCCAGGGCCTTTGCACTGAGCTGCACTCCTAGCCCTTTTTCACTTTTTATTATTTATTTATTTATTTATTTTTCTGGTACTGGGGATTGAATTTAGGACCTTGTGCTTTTGAGGCAGACACGGTGCCACTGAGCTAAATCCCCAGGCCTCTTTACTGTTTATTTTGGGATAGGGTTTCACTAAGTTATTAAACTGCCCAGGCTGGGCTGCTTGAATTTATGATCCTCCTGCCTCAGCCTCCCAGAGTGCTGGGATTACAGACTTGTGCCCCCACACCTAGCTTTTATTATTATGTTGAGACAGGCTCTGGCTAAGTTGCCCAGGCTGCCCTCGAACTTATAATCCTCCGACCTCAGTCTCCTGAGTAGCTGAGTCCTCTGGTTATTTTTTGCAGTAACAGTGTTGTTGAAGAGTGAGGCAATAGAGAAAGTTTCTAGGATCCACTCCATGCCCTTTTTTCTCAAGCAAATATCCCTGTCTTGACTCCTTCTATTTGTCCTGGACTCCTTATCCCATGATTCTAGAGACACTACCTTAGGTTCTCTATGTTGGTCACTGTTCCTCTCAGGTGTGTGTGTGTGTGTGTGTGTGTGTGTGTGTGTGTGTGTGTGTGTGGCCTTGGTTTATTGGAACTGGAGGTTCTGATGTACAGAACTCACCCGGGGTGGTCAGGCAGGTGTTCGGAAAGCTTGAGGCCTAGTGGAATCTTAAATGTAGCGGTTCTCAAACTTTGGTCTGCAGCAGAACCATCTAGACAGATTGCTAAACATAGGGTTGTCCAGGCCCCAGGCGTTTGGAATCTGAACTCCCAGGGGAGGTGCCTGGCCATTGTAGGTTAACAAGCTCCCCAAATGATTCTGAAGTACACCTGAGCTTGAGAACCACTGCCTTTGCCTAGGAGTAGGGGAGTTCATCAGGTGAGGGAGAGTGGGCAGTCATTCTGGGAGATGAAGTAGCAACAATAGAAGCCCAGGGAGCCTAGAGGAGACAGTGAACATGACAAATGTCTGTTCTGTCTTTATCTCCCTTTAGCAAAACGGTCAAGTAAAGGGGGTTAGAAGTCTTTTCATTCAGACCTGTCCTACTTCTGACAGATTTGCTACGTGAATTAGGAAAGAGCAATGAACTCCTTTTAGAAGCAGTTGAAATAGACCATCTTTTTCAGAATACAGAATAGAGGTTACCAAGGCCTGGGGTGGGGAGGCAAATGGGAATGAAGAGTTATTGTTTAATGGGCAGGTTTCTGCTTGGGTTGATGAAATCTTCTGGAAATGGATACTAGTAATGGTTGCACAGCATTTAAATGTATTTAATGCTGTTGCTCTGTATACTTAAATATGGTTAAAGTGGTAAATTTCATATTATGTATATGTTACAACTTACAAAATAGGTGGTCTTTTAAGGCCTAGAATGATAGGAGCAAATGTTGTTTTAGCCCATTGCTGCTGCCCCAGGTGTACGTGGTGGGGTGGGGAGGTTACAGAGAGGTACCAATTTATAGCACCTGGCCTGACAAAGTACAGTACAAGCCTATTCATGGGAGCAGGGGAATAGAAATAACTTTGGAAAATAGATGGTAATGAGGATCTCATATAAGATAGGAAATAGTACTTTTCCTTCTCCTTGCCTGGTTGGTTCCTGGGATCAATATCACTTCTTCAAACTTCATTGTACATAGATGTCACCTGGGAACCTTGTTCAACTGCAAATTTTAACTTAGTAGGTCTTAGTAGGTCAGAAGGTGCTGACATTATGGATCCATGTGGGAGGTTGTGTAAATGTAATCTTGGTTCACCACTTTAAGTCCCACGAAGTGATAATACACAAGAAGTGCTCAATAAATATTGAAGAACCAACTGAATATATCAGGTTGGTATAGGAGTTTGGAGGACAGAACACTGTTTGTTCTGAGCTTCAGCGTATTTGGAGTGGGTTTTTAAAAAATTTTGTCTCTTTATTTGTCTCTTTTTTTAACAGCAAAATATTTATTGGTACATTTTAGGCATACATAATGATAACACTCATCCTAGGGAAGTTGCACCTGTACATGATACTTCCCATCTGTTTTTTCCCATTCCCCCCTCCTCTTAAGGCCCCTCCCCTCCCTATGTACAAAAGCTTTGTTTCCATTTTTTCTTCTATTTCCTCTTTTTTTTTCTTGTCCCTTCCTTCTTTTCTCCCTCCCTGGGGTGTTTCTATCAGTCATTCTCTTTGTGAAATTATCTCACAATATACAGAATGAGGATGTTGATCTAAATTATTTATGGCCTTGGTACCTTGCTGCCACAACTCTTGTCCTTGAAATAGTAGCCCTGTAAGCATAGAGTAATGAAGCCGGGTCTGTGGTATCTGAAAACAAATTCTCTCCATCTCAGGAGGGACCAGAGTGCAGGAAACCTGTGGGTGTGGGAGTTTCCGAATTTTGGCACCTGAGTAATTGCCACATTGGCTTCCTTCAAACTCAGCCTTTTTAACTGGATATGAAGAGGTTCATAAAACATATGAAGGTGTCAATGATGCCATTATTTACTAACATCATTTATGACTATGGTAATGACACTGGCAGTTGAGCGATGAAGAGCATGGGGAAGTTGGGGGAGGGGGACAGAGGGCTGTGAGAGGGCAGAAGGAAGAGGAACTACATCTCCCAGAATACCCCGCGAAAGCACACGCCGCGACGGCGCCCAACCCCTTGGGCAGACTAGGTCCGCCCGTGTGATGACGTCACAGAGGTGACGTCACGGCGCCGAGAGCGAGGCTGGGTTAGAGAGGCCGACCTAGTAGGAGTCGTCTGCTTGTGGTGGAGGCGGCTGGGAGCCGGTGAGAGGGCGAACGAGCGAGCGAGATAGAGCAGGCAGCAGGGAGCGTCGTGCAGCGCCGAGGAGCGCCGGGCCGGGCCGAGGCGGACCCACAGCCCGAGAGGGCAGCCCAAGCTGGGCGCCGGGGGTCCCCACCCCCACCCAGCCGGACGGTGCTCGGTGTTTCCCCGTGCGGGGGGCGGCGGCGGCAGCTGACGGGATCCGACAGGACCGCGGGCGGGTTGCCACCTCCGCGGAGGAGCCGGCGCGGCCGCGGGCTCCTCAGAGCCGGGGTCCAGGGCCCGTGACAGACGGGCCGAAGAAGGGAGCGAGGCGGCGGCGACACCATGTCATCCCCCAGTCCGGGCAAGAGGCGGATGGACACGGACGTGGTCAAGCTGTATCCTTCGTGGAGGGGGCATTAGGGCTGTGTGTGGGGCGTCGTGGGGGACCCAGGGGCGTCCCCCGGCACCCGAGCAAGGGTCCCAGGGCACTCGGGGCCACTGTCCGAGCTCCCTCCCTCCTCCTGGCGACGGCGGCTCCAAGGCACCTCCCAGGGGCCGAGGGCCTTGCCAGCTCCCCTTATGTGCAGCACCCCGAAATATGCGCTGCTCCTAGTTCTTGCGCCCGTGGAGCCCGTGACTTTTCCTCCACGACGTTTCGACTCCCAAGACGGCCTTTTTCTTTCTTTTCTTTTCTTTTTTTTTGGGCAGAATTACCCGCCTCTTATCCACCGAGCCTGTCTTCAGGGTTTCTCTTTCCTGTTTGCTCGCTCAGGTTTTAGGGACTCAGGGTAGAAATTTCCTGATAGGGAAGCCTTTCTTCCTTTCTTGAGATCCCCCCATTCCCTCCACTCACAATGCTTCTTGAACTAGGGTAACTTAAGCGACCTCCTTTATCCCTAATTCCTTTCTATATTAGGAAGAGAGTAGTCTGCTCAGGGGCCTTCTAATAAAGAAGCTCTGTGTGTTTCAAATCAGAGACTCCTGTTAAGCTCTCTTGGAAGAACCTTCCTGCTTTCCTTTCCACTGACAAAGCCTAACCCACCCATAGTTGTCTGCAGTGAGGACCCCTAGGCCCTCTAGCAAGCCACCCTCTATATTGTGGATCTGACAGCTGAGAAGGAGAGAAAAAGAGCTCCCCGAATCCCCTGTACTGTCCACCTAAGAAGAACGCTCTCTGTGAGGGTAAGGTTCTGGGGTACTGCTTGCCCTGATCTTGCCAAATGACACCCTTTTTTTCTGCCACCCCCCCAACTTTATACTGTCGAGGTTGCAGTGGGAACGCTATAACTGATAAGAGTCCTTCAGGCAGAGGTTTTGGTTGGAGTCCAGACTGATTATTTCATGACCAGCTAGAGAAATTCGCGAAGGTTCCTGAGACAAATCGAGGAATTTTTTTTAAGAGGGCGTGTGTGCGTGTGCGTGTGTGTGTGTGTGTGTGTGTGTGTGTGTGTGTATAGCCCAGTGTTCTGAATAGCTAATCCCTAGGGAGAGGCGGGTAGGGGGTAGGGGGTAGGGGGTCGGTAGTCGGTAGTGTGTGAAAGGCTGTTCAAAAAAGTCCTGTCTCCTGTTTCGGCCTCGCCCCCATCCCCCCACCATTTCCCCCTGTTGCAGGGTTTTGTTTATGTAACTCAAGTTGTTTGGCTAGATTTTTCAGGTGAATTTCTTCCTTTTATTTGCTATTGTTTTTGATGGACTGTTTTACCTTTTTGTAGAGATCGATTATTATGATCAAATACTCAGTTATGGAATTTTCTGAAGTTTTTAAAAAGTAGGTTTTGCATATGGTTTGAAAGAGGGGGATGGCTGGATGAGAGATTTTTTTTTTTCATAATCTTTTCAGGAATAACAAGGTGTTTTTCTTCTTGCTCAGCGAAGACTTGGCTAGGAATTAGGGATAATAGGTAAACTTCTAAGTTCAGGGTTTGGAGTTTAGAATTTTTAGGGGTACTGTGAGGGATTAGAGTGGAGCACGTAATAAAGTATCATGTACCAAAATATATGTTTAGGTACAAGTGAAATCAACTCTTTAAGAGCTGTTTGTGGCTGTGATTGTTTTGTAAATGTATGAATGATACAGGTAAGGTTGTCTTTTCCTAAGGTTGCAGGAAAACTTGTAACTGTGACTGTGTACATTTTAGACAAAGCAGTTTTAGGTTTTATTTTTGTTTAGAAACTAGGAAATGATGGTGGTAGACTCTTAAGTTATTTTTATCTTGAATTGAGAGTTACTGTCACACCTAATGCAAATTTCTACCTAATGTGTATGGAGTGAGGGGGAGAATTCCAGCTGTTTTTGATCGATGTCAGATCTTCCAATTATGTACATACATAGATTTCTAAAAGATCGAGGATAAAGAGTGAGGCCTAACTTGACCTGATGCCTTTTCCATACAGTGCCTTTTGTTCGTTTAGTAGTTGTGGCATCTAGAATGATTACAGAATTTAGGAGTCGGGGTGTGGGGGGTGGAGAGAGGGAGAGAAAAACAGACAAAGAACAGCAGGGTGTCTTTTTTCCCCTCCCCCTAAGTGGCTTATTTCATAGCTTATTTTTAGTAGAAGATGAAGAAAGGCAAAGATGCACTGGCCTTCTGTTCCTTCCCCACCTTCCTTCTTGCTGACAAAAGAAAGCAGAGGCGCTTTAAAATTGTAGATCTCTAAGATAGGAGGGTAACAGTCTTTAAGACAGAGGTTATCTTTGATTCATGTTTGTTATTTCCTGGTCAAATGTAGTTCAGAGGTTAAAATTTTTCAGATTTCCTTTTGTGTGTGTGTGTGTTATGTTGTGGGGATGAGATATTTTTGTAGTCTCCTTTCTCTGTTGATTTCACGTTAGTAGGCCCAAATGGGGCCAACAGTTTTTGAGTGAGATATATTTAGTAAGATATTTAAGAGGAAATTCCCCAACCCACTACTAGAATGAGTACAATTAATTGTGTGAAAGGGCCAAGGGTTGAATATGAAAGATGGTGGAGAGGAAGTAGAAAGAAAGGTCTGAAGGAATGTAAAGTACTTCTTGTCCCTTGGTGCCCCTGATGATTTCCGTGGTGTGGCGGCTGATAGCTGGTTTCATTGCAGTCTCTTCTTTCAGCCCATTTTTGGCTGTCTCCTGAGCATAATTATACCACCACGATTTACAGCTTGGCAGGGTACCTATATAGTAGGAAAGTAGTGGTGTGGGGGTAGGGAGAGAAGAGGATGTGTAACTAATTGGCCACTGCCTTCTGCCACCTTGCTAGGTTCCTTCCACACTCTGTCTCTGGTTGTTGTTTGGAGTCTGATATTTCTTTTGTGATGGGTGATTGGTAGGAGGAGAGCTGACTCCCAAGTTATGCAGGGAGTGAGTGTTTTGCACCGATGCACTTAATAATCTGCTGGGTGATTATGTTCTGAAACTCTGACTCACTCATTGTTTCTCTTCTGAATCCTCTGCTGAGGGTTGTGCAAACCTCCCCAGGAGCCTAGAAACTGATTTACATGACTTTTGGGTGCTGTAGGAATGAGTCCCAATCAAAACAAAACAAAACAAAACACAAAGACACACACAGAACCCTCAAATCCTGTGGAATAGTCTTGTATAGTGCAGTCATTTGTTTGCAAAGTCAGGTAGATGGTGATCCTGTGCTGCTCCCACCCTGGCAACCTTTGAGGTTTCCATCTCCAACCCGCTGATTAGTTTGTCTGAGAACTGGGACTCTGGTGACCTTAAAGCGTGATTTGCCCTAAAGGAATATCGGTTTAAATTCTCCCCAGTGGAGGAACAAACAGCTCAGATTACATGGGTTTCCTTGTTGGTGGGGGTTACTAGTCTCACCCTGTTGCACAGCCCTTAGTGATTCTTTTTATCTGTGAACCAGTGGCCCCTGCTGAAGGCTGAAGCTGCTTGTTTTGGGAAAGCGTATGCAGGCAAAAGGCCGCAGGCACAGCTCCTTGCAGCTCATTGGCTGCTCTGTTACTACCCGGAAAAGGAGGAGGGGTGGAGCTACTAAACAGCTGATTGAGTGTGTGACAAGAGTGTGTTTACATACAAAAGAGGTCGGGGCTGGGGAGGCCTAGAGAACAGCTTTGCACGACTCACAAAGTGTATTTTCAAGTGTAGAAAGGAAAACCTGACCTGTTAGAGTACAAGAAATGTTCAGGGAAATTAAGGTTAAACTAGAAAAGTGGATCTGGTAATAATGGGGATTTGCCATACACCATATTTATTATTGGTGTAAGATTTGGAAATTTGCAATACCAAGAATTTTTAAAGATTCTCTTTTTCAGAGGGAGGGAGCAAGCACAGGAACAAGACAGGTTATGCCACTTTTAGTGTACTTGACTGTTACACAGGGATTCAAAAACATGGTAAAAATGTAAGCTTCCCTCTTAAAAGCTTCCACAGTGATAGAAAGGGGCAGTGTCTTCCACTCACTAACAGCATGAGTGAATCTTATAAAATCAATGGTGGCTGCTTTACAGTTTCTTTTTTCTTTTTTTTACAGTTTCTGTTTGTTACAGGGGATTCTACCCAGAGTCTTCATGCTGAGGTATATCCCAGTTCTTTATTTTTTAGTTTGAGGCAGGGTCCCACTAAGTGGCCAGGGTGCCCAGGCTGTGCTCAAACTTGTGATCTTCTTGCCTTAGCCTCTCAGAGGCTGGGATTAAAAGCATGTGCCACCATGGCCAGCTACAGTTTCTATAACAAATTCGAACCCTCAAATATTTGAGCACCTCCTTTGGGCAGGCATAATGTTGGGGGGTCTAGTGGTGAAAAATTCAGTGTGAGGATCATAGTGCTTGTGGAATTAGAACAACAAAAAATAAGGGGGCTTGAGACAATCTCCCCACGTGACCCAGGCTAGCCTTAGTGAGTTTGAGGCCAGTCTGGGCTACATATTGAGTTCATCGCCAGCCTGAATTACATAGCAAGATTGTGTCTTGAAAACAGTGGGGGCGCATGCCTGTAATCCCAGCACTTGGGAGGCTGAGACAAGAGGATCACTGCAAGTTCAAGGCCAACCTGGGCTACACAGGGAGACCCTGTCTCAAAAAACAAAACCAGCTGGAGATTTAGCTCAGTGGTTTCGTCGCCTGCTGCGAAAGCGCAAGGACCCGAGTTCGATCCCTGGTACCAAAAAAAACCCAAAACCAAACCAGAAAACAAAAAACCTAAATAGATGTTTAAAAAACAAACAAAAACATTAAAATGTATGGACATTTGTCTTTGATTTTGGCTTTGGTATTTTGCTGTTTTTTCAGGTTCTTGCTATATAGTTCAGGCTGATCTTGAACTCTTATGTAGCCCAGGCTGAGGCAATCCTCCTGCCTCATCCTTCTGAGTGGTAGGATTACATGCATGTACCACCAAACCCAGTTGATATTTTGCTGTTAATCAGTGGTTATTCTATCCCTAAGT